TAGTTTACTACAAATTTCAAAGAGAAATAAAGGTAATGGTATTATAACAACCCAAGTTTCATCTAAATGTTAATATTCCTTTTTCATCCTTGAATCAATAGAATATAACAGACAAGAACAGATGTTTAGCATCCACAAGCTAATCTGGTCACATTTTTAACATCTAACAAGATCTAGGTAAACACAGACAAATACACTCAGTAGCTTCTTCTAATTTTCTAACAATACAGGTTTACATTTCAAAGAATTTAGTCTACTTTAACAAGGCTTTGATAACTATCTACAAGGAATGGCCCTGTTTACCATGGACATACTTATCTAATATGTCCTTAAGGTTGATTTTGGGTCACTTAGCCTGCTCATTGCTTAACCCTCACTGACTTAGTGTCACAGTAGCATACTACAAAGTATCTTTATGTTTCAGTTTTCTTAACCCATTGTAACGGGGCAAGACTCACCCCTGCGGCGCCTCCTGTTGGTTGTCCTGGGAATTAGCTCTTTTGACCCAGAGTGCCCTCTGCAGGATGGTGCCTCACTGCCGCTGGCCCCTGTGTCCCTCCCAGACCCGATGCTCCTTGTCAGTACACCCGCTCTCTGGGTCTCCCCCACCCAGTATCCCCACCTCACTTCAGTCTTGGGCTACTGCCAGTCACCATCTAGCCTCCGCTCTCTGGTGCAGACTGTAGTGTAAAAACCACTCATCACAGGCAAGGGCGGGGTTGGACCGGCTGCCTCTGCCTACCCTGGGCTGCACCTTTGCAACTTAGTACCTTTCTGGCCTTTGACATGGCCACAGCCTGGGCTTTTCCAGGAGGGAGCTCCCCAGCTTCCTTGCTCTATTCCCCAGCCCTGCTCCCCTCAGGTACTCTGTTCAGCTTCCCAGCAGCCAGGCCCTTCTCCCTCTAGAGACAGAGAGAGACTGACTCTGCTCCTGGCCCACTGCCCTCCTATAAGGGCCAGCAGAGCCCTGATTGGGGCGTGGCCACAGTTGAGCCTGCTTCCCCAATCAGCCTGGGAACTGCTTGCTCCCAGTCACAGCCCTCTCCTGGATGACCATCCCATACATACACCCTTCCTCAAAACCCCCACCCTTGGTGGAAGGGGAACCTCTTGGCCTGGGCTCCCTAAAGTTGGCACTCCAGGGCCGCCCCTCCGGTTCCGCATGCTTCCTCTTCCAGGCCTCCCAGCTTCAGGCCATCTCCCGGGCCTGTGCCTTGGCCTTCCAATGGGCCAGCTCCGCCTCTTTGAGCTGCACCCTCAGATCAGGGTCCCCCAGGCCCTCTTCCTTCAGGGTCTGGGTTCATTTCATCTCTTGTTCCTGGACCACTTGGGCCTTAGCCTCATGCTGGGCCCTCTCAGTCTGCGTTTCTGTACTGGTGACCTGCCTGGCGATGGTCTGAGTCCCGACCTCCTTCGGGGTCTCCTCCATCCCGGTTACTGCCTTCTCCACCTTTGGTCCTTCCAGGCCTACCGGCACCTCCTCTGGCCACCTCTCAGGTCCTCCGAAGATGGCCCAGTATCCAGCAGCTCCAGCAAGCGCTCCGCCACCATCCTGCCCGGGGCTTCTCGTGGTCCATTTGGGGTTCGGTCCCTTTGCCGGGACTGACGTGGACCTTTCACGTCAGGCCTGGGCATGTCCACTGCATATGGCCCTGTCGACCACAGGCCCACCAGATCTGCAGCTGCCCGGCTTCCCTCACCCGGCGGACTTTCCTAGGGACCTGTCCTTGTCCCTGTTTGGGCTGCAGCGCCCTGCTTCCACCCCAATAGGGACAGTCTCGTCTTAAATGCCCACGCCTGGCACAGGCATAACACGTCTTCTGTTCCACGCCAGGCCTCCTGGCCCTGGCGCTGGGCTCCTCGCCCGGCTCTAGGTAGTCCCTCCTAAACTGCCTACAGAGGAGCTTTATCAGGGCCCGATGATCCTCTGCCAGCTGGGCAACTGTCCATGGAGGGCTCATTGCAGGTCGTCAGCCCCCTTCTACCAGGGCGCTGACCTCGGGGCCCAGCCAGGGACAACACCCGGGGTCTCCCCATAGAAACCTCCAGTGTATCCAGGATCCATCATCCCCTGTTCCTTTAAGTCCTGGGGCAATAGTCCCACTGTCCTTCCTGTGCCCCTTGTATCGGGGGTGGACCACCTATGCCCGCATTCTCCACTGTGTAACAGGGCAGGACTCACCGCTGCGGCGCCTCCTACTGGTTGTCTTGGGAATTAGCTCTTTTGTCCCAGAGTGCCCTCTGCAGGCTGGTGCCTCGCTGCCGCTAGCCCCCGTGTCCCTCCCAGACCTGGTGTCCCTTGTCCTTGGGCGCTGCCCCCTGGCAGTATACCCGGTCTTTGGGTCTCCCCACCCAGGGGAACCCCCACCCACTATCCCCACTTCACCTGGAACTGGGGTACCGCTGTGCACTCTTAATTCTCCAGCTACAGCTGTCTCTCACAATGCTTTGCTAATGACAAGCAGCAAACCCCTCCAGACACTCAGCACAACAGCGTGTAGAGCCCCACACCCAGCTAGATTGCATGAATGCTCCCAGAGCCACTCATAAACACAGAGAAAGGCACCAGCCAATTCTCCCCAGCCTTACACCCCAGAGTTGTACTGTCTTGCCCTGGTCAGAAGCCTGATCTGTGTAGGTTTATTACCCAGTCTGCTCCTCCCTCAATGTGGAGAGGACAACGCACCAGCCTTTGTAAACTGAGCACTTTCCCAAGTACTTCAAGCAAAATTCACCTTTTTAGGTAAAGTATAAAACAGATTTATTAAAGAGAAAGAGAAGATTTTAAGTGATTATAAGTGGTAGGCATAAGAGACCAGAGATAGTTACCAAAGAAAATAAAAGATCTAAATCTTAAACCTTAATATACTAAGCAGTATTTAGATCAAACAATTTTCTCACCCACTGAATGTTACAGTTCTTAATACACACACTTCTCCCTGAAGCCTGGACCAGTCTCCTCAGATGAAGCCTTCATCTTCTCAGCATTCTTGTTGCTCCCAGCATAGGTGGGGGAGGAGAAAGGCAAAGGCATGCTGCCACTGTCCCCTATTTTATATCCTCAGTCCAAGTGCCTAAAAGACACTTGCCCAAACACGTTCTGGTGGACTTTACTGAGTCACTGGGTTGAGCAATCCCCCTGGTGTGGCCTTGTGCAACTGAGTCATAGAGTTGAGCAGTCCCCATTGTGTGGTGCTCTGGCAGCTGTCATTGAATTGTAAATCCCTTTATTAGAAGTCCCCGGTTGATTAATGGTCATTGAACACCCTCCTGGGCAGGAGTCCTTTGTTTGTCACTAGCAAATTTACAGCAAATTTCAGTAACCCTACAGCAAAATCTCATAACTTCATACACACTGGTGATATACATATTTGGATAGAACAAGGGGTTTCAGCAGATCATGACCTTTCATATGATATCTTATATGGCATGCTTTGTATGAAATATCATAACTACATATGAATGATGAACATGGGGGTTTCAGGGTGCCATTTTGAGGTACAGTGTGTCACAACTATATTCTGTTTCCATAAGCAGGCACAAATATACCTTTGTAAAGCTGGGATCAACAAATGAAAACTTGCATGTTATTAACATTTACATATACAATGAAGACAAGTACTTAGTCTAACTATTCTGTGTTTGTACAGTGTCTAGCACAATGGGGCTGCATTCTTGGCTGGCCCTTAGGCACTACCATAATAATTGTTGTTATTATTATTAATAATAATACTAATAATTGCCTTGTTTTTAGGTAACAGGAACAAGCTACATATTTCAGAATTACAACGTGAAAAAAAAGTACATCTTGCAAATCAGAGCAAAGGGAGATGCATGTCTCGTAAGCCAGAATTGGGGGGAATGGAGTGAACCCATTGAGTTTGGTAAGGATGTTGAGTATTTCTTTTATTTAATTTTCCCTCGGTAATTACCTGTCTGTTTCACTTACTGTCTCACCTTCACAGACACAAACAAATCTTAATTCTATTCAAATATTTTATTTCTTCCTGCTGAGAAGGAAGTGAGGGAGATTATTATGTACCTTTTAATACTTGGGAAGCACTCAAATACTATGGTAATGAATGCCAGAAAGAGTTAAGACTGAAACAGCAATAAGTGCTCAGCTACCATGGTTATGAGTGTGGCAGTCATGGTAAGCCAAAGAGCACATGGGGCTGGTTCTACCGCATTCATATCATGTGGGAATGGTTTCAAACTGCAGCGCCCTCCTTTCCCATAGCAACCAATGCTAGTTGTGTTTGCCATTTAAAAGGAGGGGCTGCAGTTGCCGTTTAAAAGGAGGGGCTGCGGTTTTGGAGTGGATGTGCACACACACACACACATGCCCCCTCTCCCCTATATGTGGCTATTCTCTGGGATGATCCCTTTTAGACAAGCGCAAACAGCCCAGCATGCCCAGAGTCTAATGTGTCTGGGATCACCAAAGAGAGGCTATTAATGTTCCCTTACAAAACTTCCCCTATTTCAACCAGGTGACCATGAATGATTTCACTCTCCTGAGGCTGACACAGAAAGATAAAGACCGAATGTTGCATGAATTGGACCAAAACCCAGGACCATTCGCTGTCATGCTTTGTGCTGCAATGATTCCAGACCACTTGCTACTGGCTTGGCGTGGTAAAGTATCCTACCGTGGAGGACGAAATAAGGCAGCCCTCCCCAGAAACCTTCTGCAAAGGCTTTCAGAGTACCTCCAGGAGAGCTTCATGGAGATGTCCCTGGAGGATTCCCGCTCCATCCCCAGACACGTTAACGGACTTTTCCATTAGCTGTACTGGCCGCAAATGCATCCCAATTGTTCAGGGGAAATCAAACATTAAACACAATTGCTTTTAACCCGTGTAGCGTTGTTAAAAATGTGCACTCACCAGAGGTGCCTTCTCCACTTTCAGGGTCTGGGAACCATAAGCCCTAGGAATGTATTGGCTCCAGGGTGAGGAAAACGTCCTGGCTGCCAGGGAGAATGGATTCTCCACTTGCCTGCTGCACATTCTTCTCCTTTTCCTCATCCACAAAATCCTCATCCATGTTGTGTGAGGCTGCCACCTTGCAGGTGTCCCCAGACAGTGGTGGGGTACTGGTAGGGTCCCGCCCCTAGAATGCAATGCAGTTGATCACAGAAGCGGCATGTCTGGGGCTCTGACCCAGAGTGACTCTTTGCCACCTTTGCCTTTTGGTAGGATTGCCTGAGCTCCTTAATTTTTTTGCGGCACTGCGGTGTGTCCCTGGTGTAGCCTCTCTTCACCATGCCCTGTGCGATTTTGGGATATATACAGGGCCGTCCCTAGCCATTTTGGTGTCCTACACAGCAACTCTGTGGGGCGTGGGAAGAGGGGGTGGAATGGCCCCAGGCCTCTGCCGGGGGGGGCAGGAGCAGGCTTGGGGGGCAAGGGGGTGATAATGTTGCAGACCTCTTCATTAGTGACATGGTCGAAGTAGGAGATGCCCAGGATTTTACAGAAGTATCTCATCTCTACTACCTGTATTTTCTGTTCAAGTTCTGATGTAAGGGTCCATGTTTCGCACACATACAGAAAAATTGAGATGACCAATGCGTGCAGCAGTTTCAGTTTGGATTCCAGGGAGATGTTCTTATTCCTCCAAATTGGCTTTAGCTTTGCCACGGCCGCTGTTGTTTGCGCAGTTCTTGCCACAATTTCTGCCTTGGATCCTTCATCAGTGATGATTGCCCCCAAATACTTGAACTGTTTCACTGTCTCCAGCTCTTGTCCTCTGACAATGATATGTGAGCTGATCCCATCACGTTTGTTTGTCATCAGCTTGGTTTTATCTGCACTGATTTCCAAGCCATATTTTGCAGAGATTTCATCCAATCATTTTACAAGGTTTGGCAAGTTCATCTTTGCTGCCTGCCAGGCCGTCAATGTCACCAGTGAACCAAAGATTTGAGATTGATCGCCCCCCAATTCTGACTGTGGATATGTGAATTTCTAGGGAATCAGTCATTATGTGCTCCAAGTAGATGTTGAACAGTGTGGGCAAAAGAAGGCAGCCTTGCTAGATTCCAACAGTGGTGTGAAATCAGTCTCCTATTATGCCATTGACAAGAACTGCACTGCTGGCCTTGGCCTACAGTTGTTTAATGGTAAGAATAAGCTTACAACCAATATTGTACTTCATGGTTGTCCAGAGAGCTTTGAGCCATACTCTGTCAAACTCCTTCTTGAAGTCAACAAAGACATGGTAGATGTCCTGCTGGTGTTGTAAGTACTTCTCACACAGAACATGAAGGTTGAAAATCTGTTCTTTGGTACTTCTTCCAGCACGAAAACCAGCCTGTTCTTCAGCGATAATACTCTCTGCTTGTGGCTTCAATTTGTTCAATATGACTTTCAACATCACTTTGCTGGGATGGCTAATTAAGCTTATAGTTTGGTAATTTTGACACAATTGCAGGTTGCCTTTCTTTGGCAGAGTGATGATTAGTGACTGTGTCCACGTGGAGGGCCACTCACTGGTCTGCCAGATCTTGTTGCAGATCTTGGTGAGTACATCTATTGTCTGCCAATCACTGCTTGGAATGACTCTGCAATGTTTTGGTCTCTGAGGCCA